AAATCAATTCTTTCAGGACATGAAAGCTGAAATTGTTTAGAAACTTCAGAAGAGTTGGATTTCAGAAGATCTATTGCTGCAGTAAAATAAGCAATAAATGGGCCGCCTTTAAGGGCGTTTTTGTCAACGATAGGACTATAATCCGTATAAAATGTAAGTTGACACTACAATCCAGTTAACAGTTTTGTAGCCTGTATTTTACCCATTTGATTTATTTCTTAGTTGAAAACAAGGTAAGTGTTTGTCTGGCTAGAAAAGAAGTCTTGAGAATGGAGCAAAAAGTTAACTTGCTTAATGTAAAAACTGTCAAAGAGCAATTTTGAAATTTCATCTGACTGGAAAAACGTGTTAATGGAGAAAATTTCAAAAACAGCCTCGTGCCGAGAAATCAAAAAAGGTTACAAATTAGGGCACATGATAGAAGCAAATGAGACGAGACACATCAGTTGCTGTGGAAGTTGCACAGAAAGTTCCAATCAGATTTTATAAAATTTGAATTTTTCCTTTTCATCATACTTGCGTTGTCTTGTGTGCATGGCATGATGAAAAAACCAGACGGACACTCAGAAAATTAATAAATAGATCGGCATCCAAAAAATGATTAAAATACAAACAAAAAAACTTTTTAAAAAATCTCTAAAAACTTTCAAAGCGTTTCTATTATCTGAAGAAATTTATGATGAGTAAACAATATAATGCCAAGAAAAGATGGAGCGTGGAAAAAAATTTCTCAGAGCAAAAATGGATTTATCACGACTTAACTACAAGCGGTTCCTATTAAAACACGTCTGATTGCTGACCTTACAGGCTCGTAGTCAGGCTCAGACAAAAACTAACTCAATTTTTTTGACTTGTCATTTATTTCGTTTTTATAATAACAACAATCATTATCTCTTCTTGTGATGAATTGAGAATTGTGAACTAAATTGTTTTTTTTTATTTTGTTCGTAGATTTGTTAGTACTTGTTAGCAGGCTTCTAAAATTCAAACTGTAAGTTTCTTGAAGTTTTGATTTGGTTGGCTATACTTGTAGGTTCGAGGGGTCAGAAACATGACGAGGGTTGATTTGAGACAGTGAAACAGATCTTTAGAACTGTTAGACTACTCTCTCTAGTGTGAATTGAGGAGCCATTAAAGGCATCTTATATTAAAGGCATCATACATGATTGAGGGTTAGTGAAAAGTGAATCAACTTAAGAGGTAAGGTATAATCAGAGCTTGGAAAGATCGTGATAAACTATGTTCTGAAGCTAACTTATACTCAGAGGCGAATCCAGGATTTTCTCGAGGGTGGCGGATTTTCAAAAAAAAGTTTTGAAAATTTTTGTCGATCATTTTTATGGTCGACCAAAATGATTTTCCGAGCTCTCCCAAAACACTAAAAAGACCCTGCTTTGGCCAAAATTTCTGCACCGCTGGCAAATTTCTTTTAAAAGAAAAAACAGGCCAAAAATGCGTTCTGGACAATTTTTGGAAATTTTTGACCAAAAAAATGTGTTTTTTCGGCGCGTGTTCCCCCTCCAAAATTAGTAAATACTGGCGCCCAAGGCTCCTTTAGAAAATTTTTAGGGTCTGTCACCAAAAATGGATATCTCAAATTAGTATCTTCTATCCATGCACAGGGTTTTCATAAGAGGTTATGTTGTCTTTAATTTTTCAAAAACTGTTGTCCAAGTTTTGACGCCGACAGTTTTTTTTACGACGGATATTTTTTAACACTTGATTGTAATTTTTCCGCAGCTTAGACACTAAGTGAAGATAATCAGCTTGCCAGAGAACCAATTTGAGTTCATAAATTTAAGTTCGGTTTGTCGTGTTCGAAGATGTTTCCAGAGCAAGAACACCACTGAAACTAGTTATGATTTACTGACCAGTTTACGCATTCAAATTAAATCTTCCCAAACCTCGATCCTTTTAGATCCTTCTGAATAGTTTTCAATAGCATGTTTCAAAAATCTAATCCTGTTTCTCTGTTAGCTGCAGAGACAACGACAAAAACTTGAAAAAAAATCCGTACATTTGCTCGTTGAAAGCAAAATGGGCCACTTCTATGACTCATAATTGCAGTTTTGGTTAGTTGAGAGTGTTTTAAGCTCCTAATGACTGATAAATTTTTCTTTAAATTTCTAGACATTCATTTCTTGTTAACTCATTCTTGACGGAGTCAGTTCAACTTCAGATATATCCCGAACAGTTAAGATTTTGGATGTTGGTAAAAACAAATGTTGGGCGTCAGCGTTCCTGACAGTCGGTTCTCGGTAACCAAGAAGCTACTCTGTCACCAGGTAATTTTCAGAGCCGGCACGTTCCCGCGCCAATAATTGCTACTCTTCTGACTTATATATGGCTAATTGCGATTATACGAGAGCTCTTTATAAAAAATATATAAACAGTTTTGCCAAAAGATGAGCATTAATTTTTTTAAAAGGAAATCAAATTAGTGCATTTTGACCAGGGACTGTCTACATTTTCCGAATTCAAACAAAAAGAAAAAATCTTTGTCTTTTTGAATTTTATTACGGACACTCTTTTTTGAAAATTCCAATAAAAAAATCCCGATAGATTTTGGTTAGTGTATCTTTTTTCTAAAAAAATTTGACCTATGGGTCGAGCCAATCATCGAATTGTGTAATAAAAATGAAAACAGAATCTAGAATTTTTTTGAGGGGGGAGGCGGATTTTTAAACAATTTTCGAAAATTTTGTCAACTTTATTTTAAGTCGACCAAAATGATTTTCCGAGCTCTCCCAAAGCACTGAAAAGACCCTGCTTCGGCCAAACTTTCAGCGCCGCAGGGAAATTTTGAAAACATAGGCCAAAATAGTGTTTTTTGGCACATTTCGGAAAAATTTTTACCAAAAAATTGCGTTTTTTGGCGTGCGCTTTCCCCTAAATCTTAGAATATATTGACACCATAGAAAATTTTTTGGGTCCGTCAACCAAAAACGGATATCCCAAAATAGTACAAAGGGGGAACCCTTTGGGTCGGTAGGGTGTCGAATCCTTGAGGGGAGGGTCAGTCCAACCAATCCCTCCCCCTAAATCCGCTCCTGCAAGTGCTACAAAATTTCTATCCTCCCCCAATTACGATGTGACAGTCATAATAATCAACAACGTTGTGTCATTAGACACTGTTTAACTTAACTTAATTATTAGAGAATTAGGACTAGGATAATACTGCTCGTATATCAGCGCAAAGCCCTGAGTTTTTCGACTGCCCCTTGTTTCAGTTTCATATCGAATATTTTTTGAGAAAAGGAAATATTAAAACGCTATACATCTTGGACAAAATCAAAGATCAAGGGTAAGAATTTGAGTCGTACGAAATTTATACGAGTTAATGCCTAGCCTCAAATTTGGAACAATTTGTTTTTGTTGTGCGAGCTAATTCGCTGCGCATAAATAATTTGCTCTACGCTTTCAGTTTTATGAAAAAAAAATTTCAAAACGGGCATAAATTAGTCCAGAGCATAACCAAATTAGCAATTTTTAAACTCCCAGAACTGAAGATATTTTTCCTGGAAGTAAAATATCTTTTCTTATTTGATTTCAGGGAGTCAATGTCTTCAGTGTGGTATAAACTTTTTGACAAAAACATTTGTTTCAATCGCCGAAAATTGACTGTATAAAAACCACACCAAGCATAAATGTTCCATTTTTTAAAAAAAAAGTCGAAACAATAACATCTTGATGATTTGAAATTAACCAGTATTCGCGAATAGTCTTGTTTAAGATTTCTGAGCATTTTGCAAAAGAAGTAAAGATGATTTTCATTTTCTCTTATCATTATTGCATTACACTTCTCCTTTTTCATGAACTCGCATAGCACCTAATAAATTTCAAATTATTGATGCGCCTCAATTTCAAAGATTCCTTAACAATAAAATTATTTCAAAAACCAAAAAATAGTGTCTTATACTAGCCTTGTGGGATCCCAATATAGGGTTTTTAAAAAATATTCCACCCAAAATTGATATATAGCATCTTATTGCCCATATCTTATTTTGCATAGAAAAATAGTTTATACGCTATTTCGATGCCAGTGAAAACAAATTCCCTTTGTGTGATAAACATTACGACAATTTTGGTCGGAATCGGTAAAAACCCATTTGTTGATCATAACACTGGTATTTGTGTAGAAAAAGGTTGGAGTAAAAGAAAGGAGCAGGCTTAAAGTTTAATATTTTCACAAACTTCATTAGACTACACGCAGCAAACTCTCTATAAAATTTAGTTTTCCATTCAGCTGGCTAGAGAATGTCATAAAAAACAAACCACAAACCGGCAAGGAGATCGGAAAAAAATAGCTGAAAAATGTAAACTAAAAAAAGACAACAAAGATTCAAAAAAAAACTTAAGCATGCTGAAACACATCGACAAACCATTATCAAAAATTCGCTTAGTACGTAAGTATGTTGGAACAATTAAAAGAGCTGTTCATAGGCCCCAAACACCTGCAAATTCATAAGCCTAGAATTCTTCTTACATATTAAAATATCATAACCTGGATATCTTTTGTCCCAATTATTAAAAAAACTAAATTGTCATTATTTCACAATCTGAACTTCAGTCACATACGTAATCAGAAATATAAGCGATAAAACTCAATTGATATCATTCTTTTTTCCTAATAAAGCTCTGGTTATAATTATTTAATGCACTTCTTGAACTGCTATACAATTTATGCCAGCAAGCTGTTATCAGAAAATATATAAAAAGTACTAAAACCAATTTTAACAACTTGCCAACTTCTCAGAGATGATTACATTAAACCTGTGCAAGAAATAGAGATGGCTCGAATCACAATAAAATTTAGGAAAGTTGGAAAAATCACAGTTTTTTTTTTCAATTATATGTCTTTTTTTTGAGCATGAAGGAACTAAATAGATGTGGAAACTTTTTAAATAAAAATTTTCACAAAAAAGATAAAATGAAGATCCAAAAAAAGAATATAGGGTTTGTCGCGACTAAAGTGCACGAAAAAATGGGAGAGGACTAACCAGGACAATCAGGTATGGTGTCACCCAGGTAATAGCTCCAGATACACCTGGTGCTGCTCTCACACTGGAATGAGTAGTTGCTGTAGTCTGTGAAGTTGTCGCAGCTGTTCCACTGACACACCTCCGGGTCCTCGTCGCTCCCATCTGGACAGTGCGGCATGCCGTCACACATCTCCCAGAACTTGACACACCCCTGACTCCACCCACCGCCAGGACATGAGATCTCCCAGTGTTCAACTCTGCACTCTGAAAAACAAGAAAATGAAATTAAAACATGAGAAATGATATTCATGAACACATCCCGAAATATGACAAAAAACTATTCCAGTGGCAAAATAATTTTTATAAGAAGACACATTGAGAATTTCCGAAGACTATTATATCAGCAAAACATTGGGTGAACTCAATTTTTTTTTTAATTTCTTGCGTCTTATGGAGGGCAAAATAAAACCAAACCAAACAAAATGGAAAAGAACAAAACAACGATATACTCATTGCAAAACGACTTTCGCAGGGCTGTCTTTTTCTATCGCGAACTCGGCGCAATCTTGATTAAAAGAACCTTCATTAAAATAAAACTGTATGGAAGTTGTTGCTTTTGACTTATTAATGAAGTTATTGCGCAAATTCGTAATATATCTATGATTCTATTTATCAGACGATTTATCAGACGATTTTGAGAAGGGTTCTCCGTTCCTGTTTTGACGTTTTTCTTAAGCGTTTGAGGGCCCCATTACTGGTGCAGTGCTGCTATTCGGAGAATCCCTGTAGAATCAGTTTGTTGATAAATTATCAAATTATTCGACATTTTATCCCCAAAATCATTTAAAACTGATATCTTGAATAACGTTAGTTCACCAAAAAAAATTCTTTTTATTCTTTGGATATTTAACGCTTTCATCATTTTCATAGACCGGATGAAACTTAGCTTTGAAAATTGCTCAGATTTTGAACTGCAAGACAATTAGGCCGTTTTCGACGCTGTAAAAAGTTTTTGTAATGATTGAAAGTAATTCTATTTAATATATCACTCGACAAGGTCTTAAGAAAATTTTCGTCCTTTTTTACCCTCCGTAGAAAAACTTACACGAATCCAAAATTCTTTCCTGTTTCCTGCCACATACACTTCTCCAGGCGCGGATCTAGGAATTTCTCGAGGGGTCGAAGTCGAGGGGGGGGGGGGGGGGGGGGGGGGGGGGCGAATTTTCAAAAATTGTTTGAAAATTTTGTCGACCACTATAAAGACCCAAATTTGACCTAATTTTCTGCGCCGCAAGAAAATTTTTGAAAAAAAAGGCCAAAAAAGCGTTTTTAGGCACTTTTTGGGAAATTTTCGACCAAAAAAATGCGTTTTTTCGGCGCGCGCTCCCTCTCGAAATAAGTATAGATTGGTGCCAAAGGCGCCCTTAGAAAAAATTTTAAGGTCAGTCAGTCAAAAATTGATATCCCAAAATAGAACAAAGGGGGACCCTTTCGGTCAGCAGGAGGTCGAATTCCTGAAGGAAGAAAAGCGTCCCCCCCCCCCTAAATCCACTACTGCACTTCTCAATGAATTTTGTGAGATTTTGTATATGTTTTGCTTTTGTTCCAGATTTGCATTTTGAAAGTAGTAAATTTTTAAATCGGAAAGCTCCAACTTTTCTGTCAATTTTTCTCAACGCAGATATTTATTTTCAATGTTGTGCTAAAATTTCTAAGGAATAGAACTGTTACGTATATAAAATCTCTCGAACTAATACAATCATCCAAGCTGCAAATGAAACTGATCTATTGCTTACTTCTAATGATTCTAACCGGAATCTATTAACAAACAAACTACGACCAGAAGCTACTTCCTGGTTCCTCCTCCAAACTAGACGGAGCTGGGGAAAACGGGAATATTAATTTGCGCTTAACCTTGGGGTCAGCAGCCAAACAGGCGGGGAGAGCTAGCATCTTTTTTGATATCTCCTCCCTTGTGAATAGTTATTATTACCATGGGAAGTGGAAAATAAAAAACCTAATAAAAATTCACCAGACTGGATGTTAATTTCGGGCTCTTCTTTCGTAACCCCCCCTCCATCAGATGTAAAAATCATTTTACTGTGTAACTTATTTTATCGAGGTTTTGTATATGAATACAAAATGTGTTTGTAACTGAATTATAAATCCTCAAACAAGTTTTCATGACAATGATTAGACACCCGGGTTGACAAAAAATGCTTATCATACAATTTTCATATATGAAAAAAATGTTTATCCTACTCTTTCATACAATTTCATAGAGCAAAAGTAAGTATGAAAATAGCAAAATAAGCATTTTTTTCCATAAATGAAAATGTATGAGAAGCATTTTTTCCATACTATGAAATTTTATGACAAGGATTTTTTCCATAAATGAAAATACAATTTTTGTTTCGAAATTTCGTGTTTCAACATTAATGAACACTGTATGACAAAAAATATGACAAAAAACTATTCCAATGCAAAATAAATTTTATAAAAAGACTTATTTTTGTCAAAAGCTATCCAGAATTTCCGAAGACTATTATTTTAGCAAAACGGTGGGTAAACTCAATTATTTTTTTTTTAATTTCTTGCGTCTTATGGACGGCAAATAAAAACCAAACGAAATTAAAATGGAAAAGAACAATCTCCTCTCTTTAAATTTTGTATGAATTTTCTATGATAAGCATTTTTTCCATAGACTTCATATATGAAACTGTATAATAAGCGTTTTTCTTCCCGGGCAACGAGAGCAAACGTTATGAATATTAAAAACCGTACGTAGGAGGAACGGTAGCAGAGCCAATAGATCTGAGGGACAGATCGCAGAGTCAAAGGATGGCTGCAATGCAAGTAACAAACTCCATTATTTTTCAACTAGCACAACTTGTTTACACAACAATTTTTTTGTCTCAAAATTTTGGAACAAAAATATCGAAAAAATCTCGGTTTTTCTAAAATTTCACTTTACAAAATTAATTTTGGTCTGAACCTTTTCCGTTTTCTGCACAGTTATTGGTTAGTCTAGTTTTGAGCTTAGTTCACTTTTTTCATTTTCACCTTCATGTCAATGAAGAGGGTAATTACTAAGAGACGGCGTCTACAGCCCGCAGTCTCTCTTACCCCAACAAACAAAAGATCCCTGCTGTGTTAGATAACAGTGAAATGCACAATGAGCAAAGCTTCTTTTGGTGAGAACCTTTTGTTTTTTTTTCAGTGATGAAAACCCATATTCATCCAACAAATATCCCTAGGATTACAAAATCCCGCGGCAATTACTGTCACAGTCTTCCTGGCTTTTTGCAATATATGATCAGAATGTTTAGGAAGTAATTCATCAAATTTTGGATGAAAAATCAGCTGAAAGAAAAGAAGCTTGCTGTAGAATACGAAAAGTATATATGGAAATCAGTACTTTTTTCATGATTTCTAAGAGTTTACAGAAGGTCAATGCTAAAAATAAAAATTAAACAAGAGTTGTGATAGTGAAAAGACACACCCAGCAAGTCGAGGACTGCGATTGCTTCCAAATCAATTGAACAACTGAAAAAAGTTATTGTTCGATAAGCACAGTAATTTTGAAAACAGTCTCTTCAGTTTTGCCTTGGGAAATTTAAACAATCAGCCTAATTTGATACATGTCAGAATAAATTTAGCCACTCCATTTTGACATTTCAGTTGGGGGCTGAATTTACTTAAGCTGCAGTGAACATTTGTTTATTAAAGTAATCATGTAATTGAATAAGTGTTCCATCAACAGTCTGGCGTATTTTTTCATCCCCTGAAGTAACTTTTGGCGGAAATTCTATAACCTGTCATAGCATTCGGACATCAGCTGAGTGACGAGCATGCACTTATTTATTTGCACAGCCTTTTAACAGCGGTTTTTCAAAAACACGCGCTTACTGAATACGGAAAAACACGATTTTTGAATACGGAAAAACACGATTATTGAATACCCTTTTTTAGAACACCACCCTCCGCCCACCCCTTGGCACGCTACTGTACCTGATGCATAATATCTATTAAACAATTCAAACAGTCCGAGCATTGCGCTAGTTATCAATGTCTTTTTGAATTGTCCGCTCAAAAAGTGAGGAATGTTACAGGACAGTGTTGTTGTTGTTGTTGGTGAAATATGCACAGTCTCGAAAAACTCATTCCCGGACTTATCTTTCGTAGATAATCATAGCTGATTCACAGCAATTTTATATAAATGGCCATCGGTCTAATATATAAATGGCCATCGATAGTTCAAGGCTCACCGAAACGCTCATAGTTCAATTTATCGAAAAAAGGAAAAAAACTGCGTGATTTTGTGTCGGAACAAAACCATAAAATATCAACAGAGCATATAAGTTTACAGAGCATATAAGCAACATTAATCGTACGTAATTTTAGTAGCAATGGTTGACAGTAAACACGAAAGTTAGCAGCCAAAAACTTGTCTTTTCGAGGTCGTACAAGGTCGAAAACAAATGGCTTTACGTTTATACGAGCTCGGTATACGAGTTTCCGTAGTGTTAACACAATTACGTTTACACATAACTATTAGTAAAAATAGTAAAATTAGGTAACAGCTCGGCCATGTGTTCTTATTTGACTTTGGTTTTACTGCATTTATAATTCTAGTTAAATTTACAAGAGGACGACTTAATTCTAGCGAAATTTACAAGAGGCCGACTTAATTTTCTGTAGCGGTTTTAAGGAATGCGGAGCGGGCGATCGCATCTTCGCCAAAATTCAGGCTTAAGATACGTGCTAGGGGGTAGTATCATCGGGAGCTAATTTCCTCTAAAATCCAAACAAGATCTCCTGACTTGCGGTCAAGTTTGGCCGGTGTGTGCCACTTATGGCGTTTGATGAGAGAATGTACGTACTCTCGTAATCACCGAGTCCAGATGGCGTTGGCATATGGTTGTGCGCGGAGTTGGCGATTGCGGTGGTCGAATTGATCGTTTGTTGCTTCTGAAGGAAAATTCACGAAATGCTGTCCCACTATGAGTTGGTTAAGCATAAGTGCCTCAAGTTCATTTGGGTCACTGCTAACAGGCGTGAGAGGACATGCCTTCAAAGACTGTTCAACAAGGCAGAAAGTTGTCTGAAGAAATTCTTCAGTCATTTTGCGAGTTGTGAGTATCAAATAACAATCATTTGAAACTACGTATAAGTCGTCCCAACGAGCCACCAAGGTGTGGCGCTGATGGAGGGTTACACTTCTACTCTATACCTTTAAGTACAAGAAGGGCGAGTGCGAGATC